TCCTAATTACATGTTAAATAATATAAGGTAAAGGTGCACTTTATTAATCCCCATAGGGCAATTCAATCCTCTGCATTTGACCCGTCCTGATGCCATTAAGGCTTACGTCAGGAGCAGTGGTCGCCCAGGAACCCATCTCCAGATGCTCAGCTTGGTCAGGACTACCAGAGCCGGAGGATTTAACCTAGTGAGCATGTTTTTAGTGGTAAGGGAAACCGGAGTACCCAGAGGAAACCTACGCAAGCACGGGGAGAACATGCAAACTCCACTCAGAAAGACCCTGTTCCGACTGGGATTCAAACTCAGGACCTTCTTGCTGAGAGGCGAGAGAGCTATTGCCTAATATGGTTGTTTTCTGAGAGGTGCTGTATAACATGTCTATTTCCATCAATTCTGCAACTTAATATAATCATTTTAAATCAATTTAGGGGCCACTGAAAATGGTCTGGTGGGCCGGATTTGGTCCATTGGTCTGAGATTGACCTGCCTGCTTTGGTCCTTTTGTCCTAGACCGTGGTGTGACAGATGCACAGATGTAAACACATGACTCTATCTCTTCTTTATTATGATGAAGTTAGTTTATCTTGTGCGGTGTGCTCCTCATTCCTGCTGTTCTGTAACTGCTGATGCAACACTGACATTTCCCTGCCTATGTTTTTAAGTATCAAGCTTTTTCTTCGGGCGAGTTAAAGGATTCTTAGCTCAAACAATCCCAAACGTGGCTGTAATTATTCATAGATTCTCCCAAAGTGAATGTGTGGTTGTGTGTGCATGTGAAAGCTTGATCCTTTCAGAAGCTAAGCAGGATGAAGCCTGGTTAGTATCGTGATGGGAACACCAGGTGAAGCGCCAAATTGCCAGACAAGACACCTCACCCACATTACCAAGAATGAGTCTGGTGTGTGTGGGTGTGTGTGTGTGTGTGTGTGTGTGTGTGTGTGTGAATGGTCGGTGGTGGTGGGAGGAGCCACTTTGGCACATACTGGTTGCCTCGCTTCTATCAGTGTGGGCATGGGGCGTCTTTGAGTGTCCACAGAAGGACTGTGTAAAACTGATGCAATTTTTATTATTAGGACTGACTGCAGTTCAACAATAAGTTGTGTGCCTTTTAGATATATAGATAGATACTTTATCGATCCCCGTAGGAGACATTCAGGTGTCCAGCAGCAGAAAACACATCTATATAAACACACAAGTACATCAATTATATATTTTTTTAACTAACCACCTAACAATAGAGCATTTTTTATACTCATACAGGTCTGTTGTACAGTCTGACAGCCGACGGAACAAAAGTTGACCCTTTTGTAACATAATCCATCTCCAAATACATAGAAATGAATCATATTGAGTGTTTCTTAGGTTGGTGGTTCTGTCTCATCTGCACCAAATTCACTTGTATCTGTTTTAGTCTGTATCTCAGCATGTGGCTCTTTACTTCATGAGAAATGTTTGTAAATGTTTGATCTGCAGCCGTCTCTAGGGCAGCTCTTGGGGAGCTCTCAGCACGGCGGCACGGTGGCTGAGTGGATAGCACTCTCGCCTCTCAGCAAGAATGTCCTGGGTTCGAGACCCGGTTGGACCAGGGCCTTTCTGAGTGGAGTTTGCATGTTCTCCCCGTGTCTGCGTAGGTTTCCTCTGGGTGCTCCGGTTTCCCCTACCACTAAAAATATGTACAATAGGTGTTGCATGTGCCCCCTGTACTGGCACCCCCGCTCCCAAAAAATAACAATTGTAAACCGCTTTGAGACTCCAAAGAGCAGTGAAAAGGCGGTATATAAATAAAGATTACTTAGATTACTTACTTACTCTTGGGTAGCTCTAGGGCAGCTCTTGGGCAGCTCTTGGGTAGCTCTTGGGCACTCCTATGGGCCCTGAGAGGAAGAGGCTGATTCGCTGACACACTGCTCTCATTTCCTGCATAGCTCTCAGGAAGTGGACAGATGGAGCGAGGCGTGTGTGTGTGTGTGTGTGTGTCTGTGTCTGTGTGTGTGTGTGTGTGTGTGTGTGTCCATACTCCAGTTACACTTCCTCTCCAGGGCCGTGGTGATTAGCGCTGCTCACATTAAGTCATCAGCAGCAGATATGAGAGATATGTAACAAGTTCTGACGACGCGTTCTCATCTGTCTCACTTATACTTAAAGGAGACATATAATTCAGAACACGCACCCAGACGGGACTTTTCTGTATGGAGTTTGCATGTTCTCCCTACGCTCCGGTCTCCCCTACCACTAAAAACAAGTGCAAGTATTATTGTTCAGAAGTTAATTTATTACTCAGAATGTGAAACTGACTAATAACACTTGTTACAGCCAAATGAGCTCCATCAAGTCTTTGACAACTCACAGTTTGTTAAAAAAAAACAACAAAAAAACAAGATTAAGATTAAGATTATGGACATCTGAGCAAATGGATAAATGCACACGCAGAGATAAAATTGCACACGCAGAGATAAAATTGCACACGTTTTTCTACTTTGCACACGCGGTTTCGATGGACCAAAAGCAATAGGGCTTTGTATTCCAGACTGGGCTTAAAAATGTTTCTTTCAACTACTCCTTTATTTATTTATTTTTTAATCCTCTTTGTCACAGATCTAAATGCTCTGTTGTGAAACTCATCAACTTATAACCTATCGTTTGGAAACAATTTATTTATATAGACAGAGGAAGTCAGTTGTTGTCACGTACATGTTAAAGACAAACTGTATTTCCTCAAAAGTCGATCTGGAAGTTTTTCAAATGACTTCAGAGACAAATTTACTTTTTTTTAATTTCTTGTACTGTATTTTAATCTGGAGCATTTTGAAGTTTCCTGGAAATGTAAGTTGCAATATAAATAAAATGTATTATTATTATTTTTATTAGAATTAAACTGGCTGCATCAGTGGATCCCGAGTAAAATTACTAATAATGCTCTAAAAAGGAGACTATACTGTTCCCTTGTTGTTCCATCACCAGAATAACAGTGATAGAACAGAATATGCCTGCTACCCGGCAACGGATGAAGCGGAAGAAAATGGATGGATGGGTGTTCCCTTGTTATTCTCTTACCCATACTTACTCTCCCCTGATTGGGAGCGGGTCTCCTGTGATTGGACAGTGCTGCTGGAACCCTACTGGTTTGTTGTGAGTAGTTGCTAAGATACAGTACCAGATGTAATGGGAACAGAACCAGGTATAGGAACAGCTGAGAAGTGTAGAGTTGGGTAGACTAGACTAGAGTAGAGTAGAGTAGAGTAGAGTAGAGTAGAGTAGAGTAGAGTAGAGTAGAGTAGAGTAGAGTAGAGTAGAGTAGAGTAGAGTAGACTAGACTAGACTAGACTAGACTAGACTAGACTAGACTCTGTTCTGAACACTCTAAAACCTGTTTTTCGGACTGATCCTGGTTTTCGTACCAAACTAATGTGACGTTGTCCAAAAGGTGGAGCGCTGTCATGTGTTGTTGCATTGATCCTCTTGTTAATGCGCTGGTGCCACTTCCTCGGCGCATTAAGCCGCAGCCGCCGCATCCTCGGCTCATTACGGCAGAGTGAGAGCGTTACATGAAGCGCTCAGGGCCGAAGATGCTCCTCTGTTTGTTGTCCTCGTCACACATTATCGGAGGATGGGGTTTCACGCCTTCACCGGGATCAATGGGCCTCGACTCTATGTTCACATGCAGCGAGCGGAAGTACTCGAGTAATTGTTCACAGCTGTACACAGATACTTTATTAGATCGATACTTTATTAGATCGATACTGTGTGAGTATTAATGAATGAGTGAGTGAAATGAAACTCAAGTGCAAATTCAGACTGGAAGACCAAAGAGACGTCATGCAGCCACACTGACTCCTCCCTCTCTGCTCTGACTCCTCCCTCTCTATACTGACTCCTCCCCATCTACACTGACTCCTCCCCCTCCTCCCTCTACACTGACTCCTCCATCTGCACTGACTCCTCCCTCTGCACTGATTCCTCTCCTCCCCTTCTTCACTGACTCCTCCCTCTACATTGACTCCTCCCCTGCACTGATTCCTCCTTCTCTGCACTGACTCCTCCCCCTGCACTGACCCCTCCCTCTACACTGACTCCTCCCTCTGCACTGACTCCTCCCCCTGCACTGACTCCTCCCCCTGCACTGACTCCTCCCCTGGCACTGACTCCTCACTCTACACTGACTCCTCCCCCTGCACTGACTCCTCCCCTGGCACTGACTCCTCCCTCTACACTGACTCCTCACTCTACACTGACTCCTCACTCTACACTGACTCCTCCCCCTGCACTGACTCCTCCCTCTACACTGACTCCTCCATCTGCACTGACTCCTCCCTCTGCACTGACTCCTCCCCCGGCACTGACTCCTCCCTCTACACTGACTCCTCCCTCTACACTGACTCCTCCCCCTGCACTGACTCCTCCCTCTACACTGACTCCTCCCTCTGCACTGACTCCTCCCCCGGTACTGACTCCTCCCTCTACACTGACTCCTCCCTCTACACTGACTCCTCCCCCTGCACTGACTCCTCCCTCTACACACCTGCACCTCCCTCAGTAACACACCTGTGCTCATCTCTTCATGGCTGCATGTAGACAGAGCTTCTCAGTTCTCTGCTGCTCCAGCTGCAGTTCAAGCAGCAACCCACCTCCTCCCCACCACCTCCTCTTCAGTGGAGTATCATGTCTTCTGCGCAGCTTCTTCCCCTTATAAACTCCCTTCTGCAGACGTCATGCAGTATTTGCGCCAGGGTCTAATCACCAAAGTTTGTATAAATATATTAGCCTCAATCTAAGTCTGTGGGTGTTTATTCATGCATCTCGACAATAATTATTTTAATGCAATCTTCGTCTCGAGTGTCTCCAGATTGAATGGATGGTGTTCGGCGTCTCGCTTCCGTCATCACCGTATGTGGAGAGAATGGAATAATATCTGAACTCTGAACATAGTAAAACGCTTTGAGTGACCTCGGCCTGTAAAATGCGCTATATAAATAAACATATCTTACTGACTGTGTGTGCAGTGAGAGAGGAGGCGCTGTCGGAGCTCTCAGACGACCGCAGCACAGACGCTCTGGTGGAGGAGATCCTGCAGCAGGGGGACACGGCCGTCATCTACCCAGAGGCTCCCGAGGACGAGCCGGCCAGACCCGAGACCCCTGAGACCGCGGGGCCCGACGAGAACGGTACCGCAACAGCACACAATACAAACACTAACACAACTACAAACACAACTTCCTCTCTCTTTTAAACATTTTGGGTAAATCTCTCCTCCACAAAATCAGACCTGGAGTCGCTAATATCAACAACTTCCTGTTTAATCCATAGAGCGTATATTAGGAGTGGACTGACCAAGTGTGACATCACCACAGTGTTAGGCAGGGCAAGGCCAGCTTATACTGTATAGCACTAATACACAAGGCAGAACTGAACAAAACAAGATAGAAAAAAAGGCCTTAGAATCATTAATAGAGTATAGAGAGACATTAAAAAGAGTAAAGATAAAATCCCTCAGTTGTTTGCAGCTAAACAGACTGGATTTAAACATTGCCAGAGAAGAAGCCTGTCTCACATTTTCAAGAAGACTGTTCCAGATTTTAGCCTGAATCTATATGCTGTCTCCCCATGTTTAGTTGTGACTCTGGGCACCGTCAGGAGGCTGGTCTCTGTTAGCCTTAATGCAGAAGAGGCTGATTTAGACATAAGCTAGCTGGAGCCAATTTCCTTGTATGGCCATAACTTTCGCGGCGTTAGCTTTGTGCGTAATGGGGTGGACTTGTTTCTTAGACGAGCTGAGGCACGCGGGAGTTTCCCCCATGAATGAAGGCATCTGATTGGTCAATCCTTATGTGGCTCGTATCAAAGACAATATCAAACTGAGAGCGCTAAACCATGGAAGTCCAAAATGGAGAGTACCATAATGAAAGAAGTCAATAGGAACCAGAGAGTTGGAGCAAAACTCTTCACAAGATTTTAAGTAATTCTGAGATATTGTCCCAAAAATGTTTTGCACCAGTGAATTTTACTTAAACCCACCTTGAAAGTGCTGTGAACATTACTTTAAATACAGCAAATTAAAAGGTTCAGGCTACAGGAGTAAACAGACTGTTGCTATGGTAACTAGCACTTGCTCTTCTCTGGTGGAAAACCAAGCTGAACCAGAACCAGGACCTTGAAAATAGGATTTTAATGCCATAGAAAGAAAGCATCTGAAATGGCCTTACCTTACCATACCAAACAGAGTTAAAGATACATCTATGTTTTTAAAAAGATAAAGTTCCAAGCTATAAACCCACTTTTAGATCCAGAAAAAGTTATGACAACCAACATGCGCTGAGTAATTACATTTCCCAAACTAAAAGCCTGCTCTGGGAGCCCTAGTGTTAATATTACCTCCACTTACATCTATTTAGGATTGTAGATGTTGTAAAAAAAGGTGTGTGTGTGTGTGTGTGTGTGTGTGTGTGTGTGTGTGTGTGTGTGTGTGTGTGTGTGTGTGTGTGTGTGTGTGTGTGTGTGTGTGTGTGGAAGGGAGGGGGGGTCTTCTCTGATACCTGCTGTTACCTGCTGCATGTGTTCCCAGCGCCTCACCTCACACCTGCCCTGATAATACATCACCTGTTAACTCAAATACTTCACCTGTGTGGGAGCGCGGTCACGTGGAGCTGTCTCAGTATACATGCAGACTCAGACCTCTCTTGTCTCAGTATACATGCAGACTCAGACCTCTCTTGTCTCTGTATACATGCAGACTCAGACCTCTCTTGTCTCAGTATACATGCAGACTCAGACCTCTCTTATCTCAGTATACATGCAGACTCAGACCTCTCTTGTCTCAGTATACAGTACATGCAGGCTCAGACCTCTCTTGTCTCAGTATACATGCAGACTCTGACCTCTCTTGTCTCAGTATACATGCAGGCTCAGACCTCTCTTGTCTCAGTATACATGCAGACTCAGACCTCTCTTGTCTCAGTATACATGCAGACTCTGACCTCTCTTGTCTCAGTATACATGCAGGCTCAGACCTCTCTTGTCTCAGTGTACATGCAGACTCAGACCTCTCTTGTCTCAGTATACATGCAGACTCAGACCTCTCTTGTCTCAGTATACATGCAGGCTCAGACCTCTCTTGTCTCAGTGTACATGCAGACTCAGACCTCTCTTGTCTCAGTATACATGCAGACTCAGACCTCTTGTCTCAGTATACATGCAGACTCAGACCTCTCTTGTCTCAGTATACATGCAGACTCAGACCTCTCTTGTCTCAGTGGATAGCAAGAAGGTCCTGCGTTCGATTCCACCTCCAGACAGGGCCACCCTACTTCGGGTGCTCCAGTTTCTGTCGGACTACAGATGGAAATTAGCTACATAGTTACAATCTGGTGTATTTACAGTTTATCCCAGCCAAATAAGTGAATACATAAATATAATAAACATCAAATCAGCACAGTCAAGAAGGTGGAGTACAGTCAATAAGAGTCAAGTAGAGTAGAGTGCAGTAGAGTTGAGCCAAGTAGGCCTGGTGGTATGCACCTAAAGCCCTGTTTCGTAATATTCTGTGTATGTGGTTATAATAAGGTGCAATCACAGCTATTTTATTATTTATTTATATTTCTTGGTCATTTAGTTGTTTTTTTCCCCCTGAAATTAGAAAAAAATGGGAAAACATTGATCTCAAAACAACTCCAGGTCTGTTTTTGATGTGGAAAAAGGGAACAAGTTAATTTGGTGTATTCTGTCTTCTCTAAATTGGACGACACCACTCCTGGCCCAGGTTCTATCCAGGCCGGGCTGGTACTAAAGTGTTCTAACTGACCACCGTCCATAGCGCTGCTAGCAGCCATGGATCCTTTCTGCTCTTTGTGACTCTGCTCTGTCTCCGCACAGGGACCCCAGACTCCTTCTCGCAGCTGCTGACCTGCCCCTTCTGCTCGCGGGGGTACAAGAGGTACAGCTCCCTCAAGGAACACATCAAGTACCGGCACGAGAAGAGCGACGACAGCTACAACTGCCCCGAGTGCAGCTACAGCTTCAGCCACCGCGCGCAGCTGGAGAGGCACATGAGCGCGCACAAGGCCCCGCGGGACCAGGTACGCACCACGCCTTGCACTTGGCCACTATCGGACTATCGGGCTGACTTACCAATTCATTACCATTCATTGCAGTCTACTTTTAACCCTCTGGGCGCAACACTGGAAGATGCAGTACAGTTTATAAACGACCGATTGGGTCAAACATGGAGTCAAAATTCAAACATGTCCTACTACCTCCCTGACTCAAAATTACGTCATGCTTCTATACCCGTTTCTGTAAGGTTTTTTTCAGTTTGAATGTTAAGCACCGCACCCCAACTCGCTCACAGGCTTCTCATTTCGTCTACGCTCTCCTCCGACGGAGCCATCTAGTTTTATTTGCGACCTGATACATATGCAAACACCAGTATGAGCGCAACTTCTTGTAAATTGTTCAACAATCACTCATGAAATGGTACAAAAGCAACGCACTGCTAACAAAATATATAACTGAAAGATTACCGCTAGTTTTGTGTCCAAATGTAGTCTGAGGTGGTCCGGCTGATCTCTCCAGAGGATACAATGTAAGCTAACGCTACGTATATTCACCCAGGCTTGATCTTTCATAATTTTTTCACTTTCTTAGTTCCCTCTTCTCTTCCTCATTGTTGCGTCGTTTGGGCTGTTTTGATTTGTCTGCAGTTAAAGCCAGAGGAAGTGTAGCCACTATCAGCTCCATTCTGCTCTTGTTTACTTGCGCTGTAGAAGCTAGAGGAGGCAGCCTGTTCTAACAGCGCCGCTCCTCGTTCTGTGATTGGAGGAGAGAGAGCGTCACGCTAAGTCTCTATTCAGCACTTTTTATGGCCTGAATTCATACACAGCTGAAACAAGTTTTCAATTAAATTACGAATTATAATACAACTTGTATGTAGTAATAAGCATTTGAATGCATAAAAACATTTTTTTGGGTATAGCTTCTATAATCTATTTCTGGGTCGGGGGGGGTGGCAATCAGAGCTCCACCCAAGTCTCATAGCACCAGCCCCTCACTGTTCCTCCTGCAGGTGGTGGGTCCACAGGAGGACGGCTGCTCCGTCAGTGATGACACAGGCCTTGATCTTTCAGTGGGGGCTTCAATCAAAGTGGGGTTAAGTGTCTTGCCCAAGAACACAACAACAGTAGACATCAGTGGGAGTCGGTGGAGAAGGTCTCGTGGTGGGATCGAACCCACAACCTGGATGGGTACATTTAATCCCTCCATACACTTTGGGCCATCCTTCATATTTCTCTAATTTACAGAAATCCTTCATCTCTTGTCACTTTAAGGTAATAGCCTTTTGAATTTAAGTTTTAGGAGAAAACGTCTGGCGTCTTACTACTTACACCTTCAACATATCCGGATTGGACATCCCAGAGTCTCAGAATCTAAAGCGACATTTTGGCATATTTATTGGACAGTGTATTGACCAGATGCATCGACGTCATCCAGTCACGTGATTGTGCATGAGCTTAGGGTGGAAGTATTGGAAACTAGCATTAGCATTAGCATTGCGGCAAGAGCAAAACGGATTTCAGCTCTAAAGAACGGAGCTTCTTCTCCTAAATCGAGAAGTGGCTGCTTCAAGCACATGTTCGATTACGTTATAGGTGGAAGTAGGACATCAGGTCAGGGCTCACAAAGAGTGGTATTTGGAGAAGTTAAGGATTGCCTAACTGGATGTTGACCCGTACCTTCTCCCCCAGTCAATTTTATCGATTAAATAAAATGTCTATTTTTGCCCAAATTCACCCTACTTGATCTTTATCATTATCGTTAACAATGCATCCCCTCACACTGGAGCAGATTTATATGTACATTTTGCTGGTAGCATTAGCAATAGTCCACTTTTCTGTGGCTTTTCTGTCTACAGCCAAACATGATACGTACTGACGGAGAGGAAAATAGTGAAACACACAACTGACGTCTAAGATAAGAGATCCTTTATTCGTGACACAGTGGGGAAATGTCAATGTTGCAGCGCACAGACAGGACAGTAGTAAGAGACACGTTTGACGTGTGTCATTGTCCTCCAAATTAATGGAAATAAAATAAATACAAACTTGTGATTGCTTTATCTTATAAAAAGTGTTCACTGCATATTAGGGAGTACTTGGATGGGTCCCAGTCCTTTTGGTTGATTGCCGCCATCGTCGTCTTCTGTCTTCATGACGAGCAGGTATCAGATAAAAAAGCTTATGTCCTTGCCTGTTAGTATAATCAACCGCACTGCAAAATGTCACAGTTTTGGCTGTTATTTGGTGAAACAGGTTGTTTTGGTAAAGTTTCTGAAGGCTCGCAGTTAGACTTCTGCCGTCTGTCATGGAGAGTGGGCGTGGCCGGGACGTCACATGCAAGGGGTCTATACATGCTTTTGAAACACAGAAATGCTTAGAAACCAAGGTCACTTTTTGACCCAATGAATCAGACACATGACAGATTGCACTCTGTCTTTGATCAATAACTTATATCGATTTGCCCTTCTCCATATTGACGGTCCCGGGGCCGGAGCATTACATCATTCCAAAACATGTGATATGCCGTTTCATCTTTCCTCTATACAATGTGAAATGGAAGAATTTTACAATAATAAGAGGTTATTATTGTCCATATAAACAGAAAGTCTATTGAACTTATGTGAAAAACACATTGGGCTGAGAGCTGATTGGCTGAGTCAGGGTGGTCCCCTCTTTTTCACTTTTCTGTCTGAAAAACTGATCGAAAGATGTGATGATGACACATAATCGTAGTGATGCAGTCAGGTCAAAGCCAGATCCTGTCAGAACTCTGAATCGGTGCAGGGCAGGGCCTGGTTAGTACTGTGATGGGAGACCTCTGGGAACACCAGGTGCCACAGTGGGACGGCTGTAAAGTGCCAAACTGTGGTTGTGTCCTTAGGCAAGACACTTATTATAATGAGTCTGGTGTGTGTGTGAATGGTTGGTGGTGGTCGGAGGGGTCAATGGCACAGACTGGTTGCCTCACTTCTGTCAGTGTGCCCCAGGGCAGCTGTGGCTACAGTAGTAGTTTATCACCACAGTGTTTGGAGTGAAAGAATAATGACAAAAAAACCAAAGCATTATTATTATTATTATTATTATTATTATTATTATTATTATTATTATTATTATTATTATACATAGTCATACATAGGTGATAGTATTAGAAGCAAACAATTTGAGAACCATGAACAGGTCAGATGGATTGCATTAAAAATCGTAACATTTTTGCAGATTGAATGAGGAACCCCAGCTTTAACACGAAGACGATGTAGAGTGTGTTGAGTAAATAATCTCCAGATAAACTTGTGTTTTCACTGCTGCAGCGCAAACAAGCTTGAACTTAAGCATCGATCCGGGACGTGGCGATCGCAGCCGAGCAAAGGTCTGCGTGGAGCCGCTGTTAGAATGAGGGAAAACAAACACAGATGATGAATGATCTATTGGCCTTAATCATAACAGCAGTCGTCTCAGATGACTTCACAAAGTTGTTGATTCTCCAGCAAAAGATAAGACAATCGATCAGTTAGAACACAGGAAATGCACTAATAAGAAAGACATTGGAGCCGTTGGTCCAGGGAGCTGAATCAACACTTAACAACGTCCCAGTGGTAAAAATGTGTGAAACCTTCGGGGCTGTGATCCAAGACTGAGGCTGTAGATCCAGGACTGACTGAAGGCTGTAGATCCAAGACTGATGCTGTAGACCCAGGACTGAGGCTGTAGATCCAAGACTGATGCTGTAGACCCAGGACTGAGGCTGTAGATCCTGGACTGAGGCTGTAGATCCAAGACTGAGGCTGTAGATCCAAGACTGAGGCTGTATATCCAAGACTGAGGCTGTAGATCCAAGACTGAGGCTGTAGATCCAAGACTGATGCTGTAGACCCAGGACTGAGGCTGTAGATCCAAGACTGAGGCTGTAGATCCTGGACTGATGCTGTAGACCCAGGACTGAGGCTGTAGATCCTGGACTGAGGCTGTAGATCCAAGACTGAGGCTGTAGATCCAAGACTGAGGCTGTAGATCCAAGACTGATGCTGTAGACCCAGGACTGAGGCTGTAGATCCAAGACTGAGGCTGTAGATCCTGGACTGATGCTGTAGACCCAGGACTGACGCTGTAGATCCAAGACTGAGGCTGTAGATCCAAGACTGAGGCTGTAGATCCAAGACTGAGGCTGTAGATCCAGGACTGAGGCTGTAGATCCAAGACTGAGGCTGTAGATCCAGGACTGAGGCTGTAGATCTAAGGCTGAGGCTGTAGATCCAGGACTGAGGCAGTAGATCCAGGACTGAGGCTGTAGATCCAGGACTGAGGCTGTAGATCCAGGACTGAGGCTGTAGATCCAGGACTGAGACTGTAGACCCAGGACTGAGGCTGTAGACCCAGGACTGAGGCTGTAGATCCAAGACTGAGGCTGTAGATCCAGGACTGAGGCTGTAGATCCAGGACTGAGGCTGTAGATCCAGGACTGAGGCTGTAGATCCAGGACTGAGACTGTAGACCCAGGACTGAGGCTGTAGACCCAGGACTGAGGCTGTAGATCCAAGACTGAGGCTGTAGATCCAGGACTGAGGCTGTAGATACAAGACTGAGGCTGTAGATCCAGGACTGAGGCTGTAGATCCAGGACTGAGACTGTAGACCCAGGACTGAGGCTGTAGATCCAGGACTGAGACTGTAGATCCAGGACTGAGGCTGTAGATCCAGGCCAGGACTGAGACTGTAGATCCAGGTTTGATGGTGGAGATCCAGGATGTAATAATGGATGAATATATTGTTTACATTTTTCCTCCTTCTCTGTCCACACAGAGGCACATCACGCAGTCGACAGGAAACCGCAAATTCAAGTGCACAGAGTGTGGCAAGGCCTTCAAGTACAAGCACCACCTGAAGGAGCACCTCCGCATCCACAGCGGTGAGTCCAAGCACCTGCTCCTCACTGAGAGCCTACACACAGCACTAGTGAAACCGGACCAGTCTCCTCTTCCTACAGTCACATAAGCAGACATATGAGACAAGGCCAGAAGATGCTTTTAAGAGCGCAGGGAAGAGCCGTGCTTGTGTTAGAAATGTATGTGGATGGATGGATATAGGCCACGCCCTCATCTAGGTCTCTGAGACGAAGCACACAGTCTGTTCGTTACGTGAGGCAAAAGCTGAAAACATGGTGCGTTTAATGGAGGAATGATTACTAGAGCTACCAGAGCAGTCAATTTGACGGCTTTTTATTTTTGGAAGTGCAATTACCCTGTTTATAGATGTTTGTGGTCTTCATAATTTTGTGCTTTTTCTGTGTCTATATATGGTTTATTTATCATTATGTTTATGAAATTATCTGTTGCTAGGACTGTTGCTAAGGCAGCTGGAGTGTACTTATACATGTCAGCCAAGAGGAGCTGGAGCAGGTTGAAGCAAAACATTGTCCATGAGTACTTCCCTTTTGGGCTTCATTTAATCAATCAATGTAATTTATAAAGCACTTTTCATACAGAAACCGGTGAAAACGTTAAGTCGTTTACAAACCAACACAAACACACAAGGAGCCAATGCAGGGATTTTAAAACATTTATAATGTTTTATAATAGTTGTAAACATGTGTTTCCGTGTTGAGAGAGGGAATGGGACAGACTCTGGGGATGTTCTTTAAATGATAAAGTCCTGTCACTGAGCTGGGTTAGCCCTGTCCATCTGTATACAGTCTGCTTTGTAAACACACTCTTTAAAGATGTATTACTTTAACTGTAATTGTTTTCGCTGCCTCCATCTGTATTAAAGGGTGTGTGTTTTCAAATGCAGGGATGTGATCTGAAACTGAGACAGGGGGAAGGGCGATGTCGGGAGGTAACAGAGTTTGATTACATTAGTACTTCTTAGAATGTGCTTTATGGCGTCTCATGTGACCACGGACAACTCAGTGTGTTTGTTCCGTCCACATCCTGACGCTGCCGACGCACAAACACTGAGCATCTCTGTAAACATGACTCTGTATACAGATACCTCTGTAGTGATTATAGATTATTACCTTATCCTCCAACTGTACCATGTGTAATACAAGCATGGCGTCATGTACAGTATCAGACGCAGGTCACATGGTACAGGTCACATGGTACAGTTGCTGTCGAAGAGTGAGGAGGAAATACGTGGATATTAGTTCACAATACATTAAGATGCATTAAAAGGTTTATTCTTCCACTGACAATACATGATTGTAAACATACGTCCATAAAGACACGAGGATGTAACATGTGGGACGGTCCTGGACTAAACATCTGCCTAATGTGTGTGTGTCTTAATGCTCCATAATTGTGTTTCCTCTGCAAGATGGGACACTTAGCGGGGCCCCTCCCGGGGGCCGTTACCTCAGGCTGGGAGCATCATTGACATGCATTAGCGGCTCCTGGAGCTCGTTAGCCTGTGTGCTAATGGCTGTGTGTGTATCTGTGTATGTGTGTTTGTTTGTGTGTATCTGTGTATGTGTGTGTGTATCTGTGTGTGTGTGTGTTGTGTGTGTGTCTCACAGGTGAAAAACCCTACGAATGCTCCAACTGTAAGAAGCGCTTCTCCCACTCGGGCTCGTACAGCTCCCACATCAGCAGTAAGAAGTGCATCAGTGTGGTGTCTGTGAACGGCCGGCCGCGCCCCGTCCCCAAAGCCCTGGGGCCCCCCACACCCCCCTCACGGCTGGAGCACAAGCCGCTCCAGGAGCAGCTGCCCCTCACTCAGATCAAGGCTGAGCCTGTGGACTACGAGTACAAGGCCTCAGTGACGGCTCCCTCTGCTGGGCTGTTCCAGGGCGGCGCGGCCCCGCTCCATGGGGCCCCTCTGCAGGGCACAGTGCAGGCCCTGGTGCTGCCCACAGTGGGGCTGGTGTCCCCCATCAGCATCAACATCGCAGACCTGCACAACGCTCTCAAAGTGGCTGTGGACGGGAACGTGATCCGGCAGGTTCTGGAGGGTAAAGGCCAGACCCCCGGGACCCCCCAGCAGCAGCAGATCATCTCTGCCATCAGCCTCCCCATCCTGGGGCAGGACGGCAACACCAAGATCATCATCAACTACAGCCTGGACCCGAGCCAAGCACAGGTGAGCCCCATGACCATGATGTCTGGCACCGTTCACGAAGCAACCCAGGAACGAAAAAAACAGCAAAACCTTTTGAGAAATAAAAACCCACACATTGAATACAATGAAAACATAGAATACAAAGAAATGATCATAAAGAAGAGCATGAGGGGATGATGTAAATGCTGTGGTCCGTGTTTCAGGCCTGATTTAAAGTCACCTACAGTTTGTTCTCCATCCATCCATCCATTTTCTACACTTTAATCCATTTCTGGGTCAGGGGGGTGGCAGTCAGAGATGCCACCCAAGTCTCATAGCACCAGCCCCTCACTGACCCTCTGCAGGTGGTGAGGCCACAGGAGGACGGCTGCTCTCTGACTGTGAGCATAGTCTTGATCTTTCAGTGGGGGCTTTGGGCAAAGTGGGGTTAAGTGTCTTGCCCAAGGACACAACGACAGCAGTCATCAGTGGGAGTCGGTTGAGAAGGTGTAGAGGTGGGAATTGAACCCACGACCTTCAGGCCTGAAGGCCAATGCTCTACCAACTGAGCTACTGTCGCCCCGTTTGTTCTCACTGAAGAAAAATTTAACTGGTCTGAATAAACAAAATCTAGTCCTGATGTTTGAGGCACACTGTAAAACCTGTCCCAGACCTGAGACCAGGGGATCCTCTCGTTTTCTTATGGAACAAACACATATTTTTGTCCATTCAGTCCATTGTTCACCAAGAGAAGTGTTTTAAAGTCTCTTATGCTGCTTCTCAGTTACACTGTAAAAAGTGATGAAAACATTTTGACTGCCATTAACCACAATTTGCTAATGGGACAGGCAAAATGATCTTGTTTTAAAAATATACTAGAAATGTCCCTCTTGTAATGAGGTTTAGGGTTAGGAATTCATCTCCATGTCATGGAGCATGTTCTGTGATGTGACTCTTGCTAACTACAGTCCCCACAGAAGCTGAAGAAGGAGGTGGTGTGTGCGGGGGAGAAGCTGCCGGAGGACCTGACTGTGAAGGGGGTGAAGGTGAAGCAGGAGGAGGAGGAGAGCTGCTCCCTGTGCGACCACTGCCCGGCCGGTCTGGAGGCCCTGCACGCCCTCAAACACGCCCAGGGGCCCAAGTGTGAGGGCTCCGCGTGCTCCCAGCCCAAACACCTGCTGTCTCTGCTCAAGGCCTACCACCCCCTGAGCCCCGAGGCCACGCAGGAGCAGCCCAAGATGTGCACCGCCAGCCTGCCTGAGCACCTGGTGAGCCCCGCACTGCCTCAGCGTTCAATGTGTTTATTTATATATGTGCGTGTGTACATATATATATATAAATATATATATGTATATAAATATATGTATGCAGTACAGACCAACACCTCCTCATTCAAAGAGATTTTTATTTTATTTTCATGACTATGGAAATTGTAGATTCACACTGAAGGCATCAAAACTATGAATTAACTCGTGTGGAATTAAGTACATACAAAAAAAAAAGTATGAACCAAGTGAAAATATGTCTTATATTCACGGTTCTTCAAAGTAGCACTTTTTGCTCTGATACTGCTTCACTCTTCAAAAGCTTCAAAAGAACCTGAAATGATCTTCAACAGTCTTGAAGGAGTTCCCAGAGATGCTTAGCACTTGTTGGCCCTTTCGCCTTCACTCTGTGGTCCAGTTCACCCATGTATAAAAATAATTATATATAAATGTATTATGATTCAAAAATATCAATATTATATCCAAAAAGTATGATTATTATTATTATTAGTAGTAGTAGTAGTAGTAGTTGCAGCCGCAGTATTACATTTAAATTCAATTCAATTTATTTCTGTATCGCCCTAAATCACAACAGTAGTTATCCACTTCTACTACTACTGCTAGTAGTAGTAGTAGTAGTAGTGGTGGTGGTAGTAGTAGTATTTGCAGTAGTAGTATAGTAAGTCGCAGTAGTAGTGTTATGTTTGTAGGAGATGGAGAACCTTGCTCTGCTTGTGGCTGATGTCCTCTCTGTCTGTGCAGGATCAGGACAGTGCGGTGTCCCTGGTCCCGGGGAAAGACACGTCCGCCATGAGCCCCTCTGTGAACCGGGACAGTCCCACCGAGGCCACCCCAGCTGAGGCCCTCCACAGCTGCCCCGCCTCGCCCTCTCAGGCCCCGGACACGCCCCTGGACCTGTCCCTGCCCAAGTCCATGGCAGAGAAGGAGCCGGGCTCGTCCTGCTCCAGCGTGGCAGACCAGCCTCTCAATCTGACGTGCCTGAAGAGGGAAGGGGTGTACTCCGGCCAGGCCAGCCCCGTATCCCTGCATCTGCCCGCCCTGGTGGCCCTGGCGGAGCAGGGCGGCGGGGGCAAAAGGACCATCCTCATCCCGCAGCTTGCCTACTCCTACACCCCCGCAGCCACCAGCCCCGCCGGCACCGAGACGCAGGAGGCCGCCATCCAGCTCAACGGCATCAAGGTGAGGGGAGCGAGATAAGATAACATTTTATTGATTTTACTGTGAAGAAATTTACCTTTTTACGTTTTGGGATCAATATGGGAACATCTTTTCCCCATTCATTTTATTTTCCATTTGCAGTAAAACCACATTGGAATTCACGCGCAAAAGTCCCCAGTGTGCTCCAGGCCAGTACATGAATAAAACAAGCTAAAAAGAACAGAAACAATTGTCCCTGTGAAATCAAAGAACAATCACAGTGCTTTGTTTAAACTTGTGGAAAGAAGCTGTAACACATCCAGATGTCCTGCATCTCAGCGAACGATATATTCTGCCAGAGGGAAGAAGCTGGAACGTGGCTTTTCCAGTGGCCAGAAGAGTCATTGATCATTTTAACAACTCAATGGGAAGAATTATGAGTGTTTCGTGAACCGTGCCAACATTTTGGGATAACTTCAAGCATTTCAATACAACGACATCCCATAATCCCAAATTCCTGTTGCTGAGGCAGACACCAGTTTAACCCCGTAGCACCCTTGGTAACACATATGCAACATAAAGTTCAAATGTTGTGGCTTAATTCATTAACGAATGTACGAACCAAGAACCAAAATCAAGCAAAAATGTTACTTTGCAAATTTGTTCTTTGAATTCTTCTTTCCAAAAATAGCACAGATAAAAGTATTTTCAACAAATATTTGGGGTTAAGGTCAACGCTCTTAACTCTGTGTTAACGCTAGGAAAAATAATAATTATAATAATAATGTTTTGGACGTGGTCTGAGCGTGCGAACAGGAAACGGTTAAGCGTAGAACTCCCAGAGCAGTCACTTTGATGCCTCCCATTCAAATCAATGGAATTATGAGGAAATCCCTAAAAATAGTTTTCATTTTTGACTAGAAAGGAATTCATACGGTTTTCAATCTTTAATAATTGCTAAAACTGTTGAATATAACTTGGGATACAACCAAAACAGTTTGTTGAGAGGCTAGATGCTAACTGCTGTATCTAAACAGTGTGTTGCTATGGTAACTAGCACTTGCTCCGAGCTGACATTGCTCTGAACCAGTCCAGGTCCAGTCCTTTGAGAAAATGCCACAGAATGTTGGTTTCTGACACATGGCTGAAAATGGCTAATGGAACCGTCAAAATGACTGCTCTAGGAGTTATAGGTAAAACCTCTCAAAAATAAAAGATTATTTCATACAAACAATGACAAAGAAATGAACAAATAGAAAGTGAAAAAAAAGTATGAAGACCAAAACTACACATAAGCTGAGTAATAACACTTCCAAAACAAAAAGCCGTCATATTGACTGCTCTGGGAGTTCTAGTGTTAAACAAACACGGCGGCCATCTTGACCGCGCAGAGCAGCATCCGACGGCGTCTTAACCCGCGATCCATCACGCGGCGCTCTCTTCGGACCATTACTTCCTTATTGTTCAAAAGCGCAGCACCGTGACAAATCGGCCAAATCCTCCCAAAACGCGATCGATGAGTAGAAAAAGACCAGCGCCACCATTTCCCTCTTTGTAAAAATGATCAGCCTTAATAGCTGTTGGCGGCGCGGGCAGGTAATGAGCGCGCTGATGAATGGAGATGAGCGCGTCACCGGCAGCGCGGGGAACTCTGCGGTCGATGCGCCTCTGTCCGCGCTGATGTATAGGTGTAGCATTACGGCGCGCTCTTAAACGCCCCGCCGACATATTTATGCTTTCTCTAATATTACCTCCGCAGATAGAAGCAGATAGAAGCGGATAGAAGCGGAGGCACTTATCGACGAGAGGATGAGGGATGGGCGCTAGTGACGCCAGGAGATAGTGCTACGGCCGGCGCACACTTGCCGTAGACTCTCGCCGAAGGGAAAATCTAACAAGAGCGATGGGTTCTAGAAGGAACGCGCTCTTTAACACCACATTAGTCATGTGATGCCACAACCGGGGTTTCAGAACGATGAGAAATGTGGACTGTTGGCTTTTAGTTATTCACAACTGAACATATCGCATGAAAGTGGAATGTATTAACGTAAGGACTCCCAGAATTATGAAATCTACTGGAACTCCCGGAGCAGTCATTTTGACGGCTCCCGTTCAAATACAATGGAATTCTAAAAAAAAAAAAAACGCCCAAAAATAATTTTTTTCACTGATTTTATCAAAATGAAGTGGTTTTTGTCTTTAATACTTGGTAAAACTGGTGATACTAAATGAAATACAGAAACACTAAATACTAATGGTGTGTTGCTATGGTAACTAGCACTTATTCCGCGCTGAGGTGGCTCTGAACCAGTTCAGGGCCAGTCCAGGACCAGTCCACAACCAGTCCAGACCCAGTCCAGGACCAGTCTAGGACCAGTCTAGGACCAATCTGGGACCAGTCTAGGACCAGTCTAGGGTCGAGATAATGTCCTGAACCTTCATATAGAAACAGAAAAGTCACAACGTTTTGAAGACGACAAACGTATATAAATAGAGTCATTACATTTCCAAAAACAAAAAACCGTCTAAGCCACTTGATAATTAAAAGTTCTGCCTCCTACTGCACTTTGTGACTCTCCTGGAACCAACAGAAATCTGCCGTTTTACACAGTGAGAAAGTTAGTTTATATGTTAAATGATATAAAGTTAATTTATACGTTTAACATTGTTATTGTCGTTGTCTGAGCGAGCTGTGTCCTGCTGCAGGAGGAGCGAGCGGACTCTGAGAGCCTCTCCGCTGCAGACGAGCCCGACTCGGACTGTGGACCGACCCGGAAGAAGATGAAGAAGACGGAGAGCGGCCTCTACGCCTGCGACCTGTGCGACAAGATCTTCCAGAAAAGCAGCTCTCTCCTGCGGCACAAATACGAGCACACAGGTACCACTTACTGCTGAACATATGATCTGATTTCTGAACGTTGTAAAGCGCTTTGGGCGACCTTGCTCTGTAAAATGCGCAATATAAATAAACATACTACAAGAACTCACAAGTTACCTAAACACGTCCATAAGGGACGAGGTTGGGGCAATTTTTCCAGTAAAGGAGACATATCCTGCAACATCTATTTTTTTATCTGAACAGTATTCATTTTCCCCGAGAGGAGTGGCCTGAAGCATGAGGCTAACCCCGACCCCCACATCCCTGAAACCAATACAATCACATTATTCATTTCCAATACATTAGCACAGAATGACACAAAAGCAAACAAACTACAAACAAACATCCTGGATTATAGAAAGAAAATTTATCAGGATAAGGAATATATTATTAGCAATGTCTTATTGAGATTAGCCTCACTGACCAGAGAGACCCGGGAGAGAGACCAGAGAGAGAGAGAGAGACCTGAGATAGACAAGAGAGAGACCAGAGAGAGTCCAGAGAGAAACCAGAGAGAGACCAGTGAGAGAGAGATAAGAGAGAGACCAGAGAGAGACCTGAGAGAGACAAGAGAGAGACCAGAGAGAGACCAGAGAGAGACCAGAGAGAGACCAGAGAGAGACCAGAGAGAGACCAGAGAGAGACAAGAGAGAGACCAGAGAGAGACCAGAGAGAGACCAGAGAGAGACCTGAGAGAGACAAGAGAGAGACAAGAGAGAGACCAGAGAGAGACCAGAGTGAGAGACCAGAGAGAGACACCAGAGATAGACAAGAGAGAAACCAGAGAGAGTCCAGAGAGAAACCAGAGAGAGACCAGTGAGAGAGAGATAAGAGAGAAACCAGAGAGAGACCAGAGAGAGACCAGAGAGAGACCTGAGAGAGACCTGAGAGAGACCTGAGATAGAAGAGAGAGACCGGAGAGAGTCCAGAGAGAGAGCGGAGAGAAACTAGAGAGAGACCAGAGACAAAAACAGTTTGAACTGTTCGTCTTATTAACAGGAGAGAGGAAACAAAATATCACCTGACAATTATTACAAATGTAGATGCTCCAAACAGCAGAATACTCTCACTTTCTACGGTGACGATGCAAACGTTTCCTTCATTGGTCCATGTGCCGTGGGTGCCAGCCTCAGCCTCCACACGCTCTCTGACGTCTCCTCCGGGTCCCTGTGGGCGGAGGCGGCTCGGGCCGTGGGAAAGCTGACTCACGTTGGCCTGGGCGAGGGGGATTTCATGGAAGACCATTCCAGCAGCTCTTACTCAACCTCACCTCCGCTCTGCCAGCTCTGCATGTTGCAATCCCTCCCTCCCTCTGCTAGTGATTTGGAGCTCCGGGGCTCGTAAGCAGCCAGAGCCATGGCCCCGGTCAGCCCTCCTGTCATACCTGGCCCGGCTCACTACCATGAGCTCACTCCCACGCCCAAGTTTCGGGGTTATTTCATCACAACACAAAAAGTACATGCAGTGCTTTGACCTCACAAGGTTTAGAACTGTGGTTTACCGACAGGAGAAAGAGAGTCAACATGTTTAAATGGTGTTGATTTCAATGTCATGTTTTGGATCACAGGTAATTTGCACGCAATGTTTTCTGTTGTTCGTTCATAAATGATACATATGGTTTGCCCCAACAATTTTGCATTCAAATCATAACATAACGTACTGGATACTGAAGAGACGCTCTGATTGGCTGTGTGAGGGTTGTACTCTCTGTTTCACAAAAGCTAAAGATGTGATAGAGGCCACACATGCGAAAGCTAGTGACAAAACGAAACTTTTTTGAACGTGAGAAAATAGTACAAAGTTTTGTTGTTTGAAAATATGGTATTATACCATTGGGGGCGGGTCTCGGCTCTAAAGTGACCAAAATGACGTGCGCTGACATGTTTGCAATACCACCCCGGGCCGATGGGGGTGGACCCGGAATAAGAATTAGCCAATGCTAACATATAGCATCTTCTTACCTCTGGAAAACGTCTTTACAGGATGGTCCAAAAGTCGGCTCTTGGCCCAAAGCTCCGTTTACATGTGTGTTAATGCTGAGGGGAGTAGAGCACATTTTTTGGTCCATTTGTTTTAACGACGGAGATAGGCGTGACTATGTTTGTTAATATTTACAGTCTATGGATTATAAAGGGGCGAGAGTAGCTCAGTTGGTAGAGCATTGGCCTTTGGGCCTGAAGGTTGAGCCCACCATAAGACCTACTTCACGACTCCCACTGATGACTGCTGTCGTTGTGTCCTTGGGCAAGACACTTAACCCCACTTTGCCTGAAGCCCCCACTGAAAGATCTCAGCTCCTGTGGACTCACCACCTGCAGAAGGACCAGTGAGGGGCTGGTGCTATGTGTACTGGGTGCAGCTCTGACTGCCACCCCCCCGACCCAGAAATGGATTAAGGGGAAGAAAATGGATGGATGGATGGATTATAAAGTTAAAAACATATGGCCAGTCTTGTTTTTGACACTATGGTCAATAGTGTTTTCTGAAGACTTACAAGTGAAACTCTTGAAATTAGAAAATTAGTCCATTTACTGTAGTTAAACTGATGTAAAACTGATATGACTCATTACAGCAGAGTGAAATACTGTATAACCAGCTTTTTTCTGTTATGATATTGGCTCGCGGTGTGGACTTTGGATTGGCACGTTTGCACAGTTTGCGCTCGTGTTTCCATGAAAGAATGTACTTGGTTCGATTTCAGCTGGAATTCGCACGTTCTCCTCATACCTGCATAGATTCCCTCCAGGTGCAACGGTTTACCCTACCACAAAATAGGTACAATAGTTCAGAGTAAATGAGTGTGTGTTTGTGAGTGCGACTCAGATCCAGAGGGGTGTTTCCAATAACTGTCCCAACCAGTGAGCACTCTCGCTTCTGAGCTAGAAGGTCCCGGGTTCAAAACCTGGTCAAAACACTATGTCCAGAGTTTCTGTGTTATCCCTGTGTTTGCATAGGTTACCTCCGGGTGCTCCAGTTTCCCCTGCCACTATAAACATGGATAATAGCTCCCCTCTCTCAGGTGCCAGGAAAACGATTCTCAAATCTTAGTATGAACCAAATAAATTAACTTTGGACTAATGTTAGAGTAGCTTTTACATGCGCTGGAAACGACAGCAAGTCCTAAGTGTCACTGAAACAGTTGTAATTTTGAGTTTTACAATTGTTGTTTTGTTTCTACCTAAGATGTTGCTGCAGTTCAGTGTTCATTGTTTTACACTGGTCCAGACTAGAGCAGAGAGGATTCATGGTTCGAAACAAGTGGATCAGGCAAAAATCCACTGGAGGAATGCTAACTTTTTGAAAATGCTAATGAAGCATTCCGCATTTTACTTTAGGCTAGAGCAGAGAAAATGGTTCGAACCAAGTGGCTGTTCCACCTCTGCTGCTGTGACCTGAAGTGCTGTTGCTTATTATTACTATTGTTAGTGTTTTAGAATAATCAATTCATTTCTTTTGTTTGTGTTTTTGCTGCTACTTGACACCCAAATTTATCCTACCGGGATCAATAAAGTATCTTACTAACTAACTAACTAGCTTTCACATGTGTATTCCTCATTCTAGTAGAATAATGTTGTCCCACGGATGAATGAAGCTGACTTATGGGTATATATCCTGTAACAACTCAGATATTGACTCCTCTGTGTGTGTTGTGCTCCACAGGGAAGCGGCCTCACGAGTGCGGCATCTGCGCCAAGGCCTTCAAACACAAACACCACCTGATCGAGCACATGCGCCTGCACTCGGGAGAGAAGCCGTACCAGTGCGACAAGTGCGGCAAGCGCTTCTCCCACTCAGGCTCCTACTCTCAGCACATGAACCACCGCTACTCCTACTGCAAGAGGGACCCGGCCCAGCAGCTGCAGCAGGAGCACAGCCTCAAAGACCTGGCCCCCGTGACCGACGAGGATGAGCGAGCGACGCTACTGCTCGCTCCCCTGCAGCGTACGGTACGGCGCATTGCACGTGGTGCAGGGTTCAGGATCCGCTACATGGTTATTTGGTTTGGTTCTTCTATACCACACAATTGTAAGATAGCGATGGTATTACCTTGACATGTTTCAACCTTATAGTTCCTCCCTTCTGAGGAAGACTCTATACCAGGCATGTCAAAGTCAAATACATCAGAGGGCCAAAAAAAAATGTTTGCTACGCGCCGAGGGCCGGACTGGTTCAATGTTTCTCAACATCCAGAGGCAGTGCCGGTGACACCTGTTGGCTCGATAAAATATGCTCCAAAGCCAATCCTCATACTGTACATATTAGAAGTAATAGACATCTGAGAACATGAAAATAGTAAAAAAAAAACATCTCAAACTTGGTGAAATGTAAAAGAGCAGTCTGGACCTCTTTTCGGGGCGTTTTTTGATTAAATCTGCAGAATGGATTATACTTTGGGAAATACAAGTGGATATTCTTCTTCAGTAGACAGTTACGGAGAGAAAGCGACTAAGCAAGGATGGGGAAAGTCTAATTTGTTGGAGCAGCAGAAGACGAAAGGTAAAAAACAAATAAAGACGTGATTTATTTTGTGCCCATATTATGCGTTATATCTTTTTAATGCAAAGTCTGATATCGTTTACACTTACATATAAATATAGCTGAGAAAATAAGCTTTAAAATTATATATAGCTTGTGGCTTATGAAGTTCAAAATACATCTGCTATTGCCAGCAGATGTATTTTTTTCCTCGTTTGCTCCTGCCGGCAGGGGCTAGCAAGCTTAAGGGGTCAATACATTGCCTCAATGGCAGGCAATGTCCGGCCCGCGGGCCTTGACTTTGACACATGTACTCTATACCATCGAATCATGTCAAGGTAATACCATTGCTATCTTACAATTGTCTGGTATAGAAGAACCAAACCAAAGAAACTTATTCTACTAAGAAGACAAGATGAACTTTCCTAAACTATGCTCCAACCTTGTGCAGGGTGTTCTACTACTAACCTACCATATGGCTGAAGGTTCTTGGGCTAGTGATGTCACTTGTTTGTCTCCAATATATAATGGAACCTTACTGAGCAAATATTCAATGAAAACCCTCCACCAGGCGAAGAAAGAATGTGAAATCATGTACGGGAGTGGAATAAATATGATATACATGTATAATGAAAAATGAGCAAACCTATTCAACCAGTTTTGATGGCAATCATGGTTGAAGTAGTGAATTGCATTCTGGTATACAGTGCCTTGCGAAAGTATTCGGCCCCCATTGAACCTTTCAACATTTCGCCACATTTCAGGCTTCAAAAATTTTTTGTCAAGAATCAACAACAAGTGGGACACAATTGTGAAGTGGAACAAAATTTATTGGATAATTTAAACTTTTTTAACAAATAAAAAACTGAAAAGTGGGGCGTGCAATATTATTCGGCCCCCTTGCGCTAATACTTTGTAGCGCCACCTTTTGCTGCAATTACAGCTGCAAGTCGCTTGGGGTATGTCTCTATCAGTTTTGCACATCGAGAGACTGGAATTCTTGTCCATTCTTCCCTGCAAAACAGCTCGAGCTCAGTGAGGTTGGATGGAGAGCGTTTGTGAACAGCAGTCTTCAGCTCTTTCCACAGATTCTCGATTGGATTCAGGTCTGGACTTTGACTTGGCCATTCTAACACCTGGATACGTCTATTTGTGAACCATTCCATTGTAGATTTGGCTTTATGTTTTGGATCATTGTCCTGTTGGAAGATAAATCTCTGTCCCAGTCTCAGGTCTTTTGTAGACTCCAACAGGTTTTCTTCCAGAATGGTCCTGTATTTGGCTCCATCCATCTTCCCATCAATTTTAGCCATCTTCCCTGTCCCTGCTGAAGAAAAGCAGGCCCAAACCATGATGCTGCCACCACCATGTTTGACAGTGGGGATGGTGTGTTCACGGTGATGAGCTGTGTTGCTTTTACGCCAAACATATCGTTTTGCATTGTGGCCAAAAAGTTCGATTTTGGTTTCATCTGACCAGAGCACCTTCTTCCACATGTTTGGTGTGTCTCCCAGGTGGCTTGTGGCAAACTTTAAACGAGACTTTTTATGGATATCTTTGAGAAATGGCTTTCTTCTTGCCACTCTTCCATAAAGGCCAGATTTGTGCAGTGCACGACTGATTGTTGTCCTATGGACAGACTCTCCCACCTCAGCTGTAGTTATCTGCAGTTCATCCAGAGTGATCATGGGCCTCTTGGCTGCATCTCTGATCAGTCTTCTCCTTGTTTGAGATAAAAGTTTGGAGGGACGGCCGGGTCTTGGTAGATTTGCAGTGGTCTGATACTCCTTCCATTTCAATATAATTGCTTGCACAGTGCTCCTTGAGATGTTTAAAGCTTGGGAAATCTTTTTGTATCCAAATCCGGCTTTAGACTTCTCCACAACAGTATCTCGGACCTGCCTGGTGTGTTCCTTTGTCTTCATGGTTCTCTCTGCGCTTTAAACAGAACCCTGAGACTATCAAAGAGCAGGTGCATTTATACGGAGACTTGATTACACACAGGTTCATTCTATTTATCATCATCAGTCATTTAGGACAATATTGGATCAATCAAAGATCCTCACTGAACTTCTGGAGTGAGTTTGCTGCACTGAAAGTATAATATTGCACGCCCCACTTTTCAGTTTTTTATTTGTTAAAAAAGTTGAAATTATCCAATAAATTTCGTTCCACTTCACGATTGTGTCCCACTTGTTGTTGATTCATGACAAAAAAATAACATTTTATATCTTTATTTTTGAAGCCTGAAATGTGGCGAAATGTTGAAAGGTTCAAGGGGGCCGAATACTTTCGCAAGGTCGCGCTGTATTTAGATCTATATCTAACTTGCCAATATCTAATCAAAGGCATACAGTTGTAAAGAAAAAATACGTATTTGGAGAAAAAATCCTTAAATTGAGTTTATTTGTATAGCACCTTCCACCATGTATGGGATCTTTGTCCTCTGCTTTTGACCTATCCTTCATTGCCGCTTGGGCCTCAGTCAAGAGCAGTGTTCTCCAAAGTACAGCTTGGCTTGGTCAGGACCAGAGCTGCAAGATTCTACCCATTATACATGTTTTAAGCATTAGGGCAAACTGGGGCACCAGGAGGAATCCAGAGTAAACCTACACAGGAACATAGATTTCATGCAAACGCCACTTAAAAAGGTCTGTTCAGACTGGGAGCTGGCTGATTTTACCCTGAAAACAAGGAAGAGATTTGCACAACCAAATATTAGACAATTCTACAAGCCACATGATACAAACCATGGGATAAATACTAGGGCTGTCAAACGATTACATTTTAGTTGATTAATCGCATAGTAATGGTGAGTTAACTCACGATTAATCGCATGTTTAACATTCTATTTCAAATCCACTCCAATTGAAGTTAAATGAGATTATCAAATATAATTACCAGTGTTGGGTAAGTTACTTTGAAAAAGTAATTAGTTATGGTTACTAGTTACTTCTTCCAAAAAGTAATTGACTTACTAACTGAGTTACTCCACTATAAAAGTAAGACAGTAAGTAGTAAGTTAGCAGTAAAAGTAACTATTGCGTTACTTTTTCGTTTGTCGTGGTACCGAGCTTTAGCTGGCTGTAATTTAGGATAACTTCTAAGTAGATTAATTGTTGCAACAACCCCACCCTATTTTAGTATGATATGTTAGTTTAGGGAACTGTCCTGCAGGCAAACAGGTATTAGACAGGCCAAGGTGCCATTTAATTAAATTGCATTTATTTTTATCCATTGATCAAACAAACAGATTACAAAACTTGCAATTGAAAGAGACTATTTTAAAATAATTAGTTCCCAAAGACACACACGAGCAACACTCACGCCTGACAGTCAAGAACCAGGGAGAATACAGTGCGCAGAGCGCGCCTGACAGACAAGAACCAGGGAAAATACAGTGCGCAGAGCGCTGAGTATGTGAACGGAGCAATCGCTTGCTGCTGTTATTATAATAGCTAGATCCATGCTTGCAGCCCGTGCAAAGCTTGCACTCACTCACAGCCGCTAACAACAACCAGAGCGGCCACGGAGGAGGCATTCTCACACGCAGCATTCTGAGTGATATTCTTATGGATAAATGGGCGGGTCATTCGGACATGCGTCAAAAAAATAATAACGCGTTAATAAAAAATGTAATTAACGTGAGTTAACGCGATAATTTTGACAGCCCTAATAAATACCTTTACTTAAGTAGACTGATTGCATATTGTTTACTAAATTCTTCCACTGTCTTGCAGCCCTACCAGACAGATTCAGACGAAAGAGCAAGCAGGGATAGTGAAGAGGACGACGAAATGGACGAAGATGGAGCTGCCGGGATCGAAGATATCCGGGTGGTGCAAGTGGAGGACGATGACGAGATGGAAGAAGATACGAGGCAAAACGAGCCAGGAGAGGACACTAGGCAAGATGAGGTTTCTGAGGAGATACTGGAGACGTCTAGAGAGCCATCTGAAGAGGGGTCCAAGGAGTCATCCAAAAAGGCTTCCAGGGAGTTTTCTAAAGAGGTATCCTTGGAGGTAATAAAGGAAACTTCTGTGGAGACATCAGAAAAGGCTTCTGGAGGGGTTTCTGAAGAAGCATCAATGGAGGTTTCAGAGAAAGCTTCCAAAGATCCATCTAAAAAGGCTTCTGAAGAGCTTTCTGAAGAGGTATCCATGGAGGTATCAGAAGAAGCTTCCAAGGACACATCTGAGGCCACTTCAGAGCAGAAGTCTGAGGAGGTTTCAAAAGAGGTTTCTGAGGGAGCTTCCAAGGACACATCTGATGCCGCTTCTGCGGAGGTTTTGAAAGAGGTTTCTGAGGGAGCTTCCGACGAAACATCTAAAGGAGTATCAGAGGAAGATTGCAACAAAACAACTAAAGGGGTATCCGAGGAAGCTTCCGACGAAACATCTAATGGGGTATCTGAGGTAGCTTCCGACGAAACATCTAAAGGGGTATCCGAGGAAGCTTTCGACGAAACATCTAAAGGGGTGTCCGAGGAAGCTTCTGACGAAACATCTAAGGATATATCTGAGAAAGTTTCCGACGAGATACTCGAGGAGGCTTCCAATGAGGTCTCCAAAGACACGTCCAAGACAGAAGTGGACGTAGATCGAGGAGACTAAGAACAAGACTGAACTTTCTGCTCACTACTGTGTTGAAATCCGGGTGTGCCTGATCCAATCCTTTCCCGCAGAGTCGTGTACATGGCTCTGTTTTTGTAAGAAGAAAAAAACGAGAGATAAAAAGAGAGTTTTAACAAATGAAGGAAATGCATTATACAGACTTTGGAAGCTAGAGCCGACACGTTTTAGATTTTATTACTAAAACACCTTGGGTCGTTTGATTTTATCAGTGTTACTAATTTTATCACTCATATTTTAACCTCTATGAAGCTGTACAGTTGGGAGATATTTCTATACCTTTTTATTGCCAATGAACAAAAAAGAGACGTCAGTATTTTATTAAGTTTGAAGAATCCTGTGCACTACGTGGCTTGGTTCACCTCCCGATGTGTGGCACCGTCAGTATTACAGAAGTGAGCGAGCGCACTGTTGGATGGGACTGCTACTCCTGTGTGATTGTATGAAGGAGCTTGTAAGTCCATAGGCAGTGCGGAATAGTGGACCAAGTGGTAAGCATGAAAAATACAAGTGGATTATAGTCAAGACTGTTCCGAACGAGTCAGTATTATTCAAGTATTTTGATAAACAAAGGGTCAAGCCATAAGAAAACAATGAAATAGTCAGTGCATTTCTTAACTGCTTTGTGTAGTAGCCATGTACACGGTTCATAAGCATATATGTTTACATACTTGGAAAGGTGGTAGCCAAAATTGTACTCAAGGAAAAGTATTGCTCAAGAGTAGGGATGGGGTGATAACCAGATTGAAGGTATACCGTGATATAAGAATCCAGCAATATCAAGACCGTCAGGATGGACTTAAGTTAAGTTAACAGCCCACAGAGAATCTTATGGGTTTGTTTTTGCTAACCTGGACATTCCTTGAGGACAAAAGAAAGGAGCATATTTTATATCTATGGAAAAATAGAAAGGTACTTTGATTTGCAATAAGTTCCCACCAAAATGTTTTGACACCAGCCCTAATGATAAGTTGAAAAAAATCTTTCTGAAAATCAGTTCCTCTGCCTTCTCCTGGTCTGATGAGATTGTGTCTTCTCTGAGTTACCATCTCTGATCCAGTGCACCACTCCTCAAAGTCATTGGTAATCTGTCTTTTAAGTATGCTAGAAATCATACCATAGAAAGGTCTTATCTTCCCATCCCGACTCATCTCATTTGTACTTTGAAACTAAATTATCATTAAAATGTCAAAATATGAATTACGTAATAACATCTGTTCAGTTTCAAAGGACAGACAGAACATCAAATCATACTACCACCTCTACATATTTGGCACATAAACTACCATTCTGGTTTTCCTTTTTTTCGTTCAAGTCACTAACCTGATGTGAATGCAAACTAGCTTGTTTACTTGTTAAAAAAATAAAAATAATATACAAATATATATTACACAAAATTAGTAAATTCCCTAAAGGCCAAAGTTGATTGAATCATCTTTACGTTGTACTTCCAGCTAGCTCCTCTCCCGTTAGCTAATTCTGAAGCTAACAGGCTAGGCTAGCGACTTGTCTCCCGATTTCCGGTCCACTATGCACCCACTGTCTATGGAGAAAACCACTTTTTTCTTCCAAAGCCATGTTTGAACAAATGAACAAGTAAAGCCTTTGTACTGCACCTTTTGAGAAAAAAACCACTAATGTAAAAGCTATTTTTGCTAATGAGACGTACCACTGTCTGAGCGCTAGCATGTTAGCAACCTGAGGAAGATGTAGCATGTTAGCATCACTTTGTACTAAAAAGCCTATGGACAAGTACCTCATACAAGCACACCACTAAGTCTATGGGTACGTTTACATGTGCTCGAGTATTCCGGTCATTATTGAGGTTTTTATTAACCTTTTCCTTAGAGCGTCCAAATAAACACTAATTTCAGAATCCCGGATAAGACCGAATTCATGCTACAAGAAGCCGGGATACTTCCACTGGGATGTTTTGACAGTATCTTAGTCATACTGAGCATGTGCAAACTAAAAGATCAAGTAGGGTAGGTGTAAAAACTTTATGAATACAGGACAAAATTCCTCCTGGGCTTTATCATGAATAAACTAGAGCTGAGTAGAACCTGATTCGTTTCTGAGGCTGTCACTCCAAAGCTGAACTGATATTGGAGTATACCGACCCCTTCTTTTATTCATTTGTTTTAGATCTATAATGAGCTTTTAAATGCACTGAAAATGAGAGACACGTTTCACTGTGTTATTTTTTTGTTTTGTTCTGTAGTTGGTAAAAATATCCAATAATCAAGATTTTGCATTTATGACTTTATCTAAGTGATATGGTAATCACTTTTGGCCGGGTCCAGGCTAAAGCTAATTGTAAACAAAAGAACAGTCAGTTTGCTTCTGATTTTAAATAACGCCTCTGTCATCTTCTTTGTTTTAAGAGTTGTTGACGTTAGCTTAGTATGGTTAACCAGGCTAAACAAAACAGCTGATAACATAGATTAAGTTAGGGTGAAACCGCAGCACCCAGAGGAAACCTACACAAACACTGGGAGAACATGCAAACTCCATTCAAAAAGGCGCAGTTCTCACCTGGATTTGAACCCAAGACCTTTTTGTTGAGAAACCACTCAGCCCAATATCATGTATATTATATTATACCGAGGTTAGCACAATATTTTTTTTGTTTAGCTTCTTCCTATTGTTTTCATAATTTAACCCTGTTTATAATGATTTGTGTTGGATTTGAACAAAATAAAACAATCCTGGGGCGAACATGATCACTCTGAACGTCCCCAAATCCAGGGTTCTGTCTTAACCGTGAATCTCGAGCAGCTGTAAACGCACTCCGTTACAATCAGTGTTTGTCGTGAAGAGAGCGGAGGACGTGAAGGTGTGACCCCTAAAACCCAAAAACCCCAAACCCACCCGAGCCGAGCCTTATGCAAAAACAAAAAAGAGAAAAACAAATGCATTTCGAAAGTGCCATTGAAGCTGCTGTTAGCGTAGCAGCCCCGATCAGGTACCGCCGGGTCCCACATGTAATGTAACCCACTAAGTAAATGCCGCGATACTGTTGACCCAAGAATTAGCTCACTGTACACTAGGTTTAGAAGAGTCCCTTAGCGAGCAATGAAGACATCCCTGTTTTCTTTTTCTTTTGAGAAGTAATCACTCCGCAAATAAGAAAGTGTCCAAATGTTAAAAAAGGTTGAATAAAAGCTCAGTGGGCGTGAGACAGAGCATGAAAAACACTATGAATTAATTTATCATTTATCCACAAAACATTCTTGGTTTTGTTCAGAAAGTGAAATAAGTTGGATCATCCATCCCTGGGGTAAACCGCTGACAGTTGACCTCCCGAAACAATTAGAAAGTTTGTATTAAAAATTATACTTTTCAAAGGGAATGCACTAACTGCTTTCATGAATCAAGAATCACATTTATTAAGTGTCTCAAAACAGGATTCAAAACCAAAGCCCGTTTCCACCAGCCCCTCTGACTCTACTCTACTCTATGCCACTAAGCTCTACTCTGCCCTACGGTACTCTACTGTTCTCAACTCTATGCCACTCAGCTCAGCTCTACTCTATGCCACTCTACTCTACTCTACTCTACTCTACTCTACTCTACGCCACTCAGCTCTACTCTACTGTTCTCTACTCTATGCCACTCAGCTCAACTCTACTCTACTCTACGCAACTCTACTCTACTCTACTCTACGCCACTCAGCTCTACTCTACTGTTCTTTACTCTATGCCACTCAACTCTACTCTACTCTACGCAACTCTACTCTACTCTACTCTACGCCACTCAGCTCTACTCTACTGTTCTCTACTCTATGCCACTCAGCTCAGCTCTACTCTGCTCTACTATACTCTTCTCTACGCCACTCTACTCTACTCTACTCTACTCTACTCTATTCTACTCTACGCCACTTAGCTCTACTCTACTGTACTCTTCTCTATGCCACTCAACTCTACTCTACTCTACTCTACACCACTCAGCTCTACTCTACTCCACTGTACTCTACTCTCTGCCACTCAGCTCGGCTCTACTCTACTGTACTCTTCTCTACGCCACTCAACTCTACTCTACTCTACTCGGCTTCCCCTAATCCTGGTTTGTTGTGAATAGGATGCCAGGATATGGTGCCAGAAAGCATAATGGAAACACAACCAGGTAGAGTTGGGCAAAGTCGGACAGGTGGAAAAGGGTTAAAATCCTGTAGATCTGGTTATATTAAACCCGACACAGTTCTTTCCCATCGCAGCCCGCTGAGTTCAAGCCTTTTTTAATCGTTCGTACACGTTCCTTGTTTGCGGTGCACTTGTATTTCACGTGTAATTCCTCATTGAAAACCCTTCAGTATTAGCCTGTGTTTGTGTCCCTGACAGTATTAGCCCATCCCTCGCGATGGGTCGGTCTTTAGTTTTCTATTTATGTGTCTTTTTTTTATTTTTTATTATTTCTTTGGTTATTTATTACACACTGTATCGTAGTTTGTATGAATAATATATTTTAGTATGACAATGATTCCGTATGCAGACGACCCGGCCATTGTGCACCCCGCTCCCACATGAAGCTACTGAACTGTCCCGGCTAATGGCTAATGGCTAACGGCTAACTGTACGTGCTAGCATGAGTGTGTCGTCTTAACCGCCAAGCCAACATAATACTATCCCAATATTGTTACTCGTTTTTATTTTGTGCCAATTTGTGTTGTTGTTTTTTTTTGTTTTTGCGATTGTATGTCAGTTTTGAGACCACACCCCTTTTATAAGCCCCTCCCCTATCAGGAACTGTATTATTTTTACAGTGGATATGTTTTGTTTGTTTTTGTTCATTTTTATGACTCCCCATCTCACAATAAAAGACATCTACAAGCATTAGGCTCTGTCTGGATCTCTGGACCACAGTTTGAGTGTGGACGGTTTGAATGCCTTGGATAAATGCGCCTGCTATTGTCTGTGGTGATTGCTTTGCTAACTATGGCATCAAACATTTCTTCATTCTTGTAGGCTTATGTTTTAATAATA